GGGTGGTGGGTGGATGCTTGGGTGGGTGGGTGGGTGGTTGGGTGGGTGGGTGAACATTTGGGTGGGTGAACAATTGGGTGGGTGAACAATTGGGTGGGTGGGTGGTTGGGCGGGTGTTTGGATGGTTGAGTGAGTAGGTTGGCAGATGGGTGGGTGGGTGAGTGGGTGGATTGGTGGGTTATTTAGTGATTGAGTCCAGTGTGTGTGGGCTACACGGGGGACCTTTGTGTTGTGGTGGTTGTTGTGGTGGTTGTTGTGGTGGTTGTTGTGGTGGTGTTTGTGGTGGTTGTTGTGGTGGTGGTTGTGATGGTGTTTGTGGTGGTTGTTGTGGCAGAGTTGGTGTGGACCCAGACCAGGATCTGCAGATGAACAGTGACAACTTCCAACCACTGCATTCGGTGAGACTCACTCGCACTCACTCACTAACACAAACACACTAACACTCGCACACTCACACACTCGCTAACACACACTCACTCACTAACACTCGCTAACACAAACACTCACTCGCACTCACTCACTAACACAAACACTCGCTCATTAACACTCGCTAACACTCGCTAACACACACACTCACTCATTAACACACACATACTCACTAACACAAACACTCGCTCACTAACACAAACACTCACTAACACTCACACACTCACTAACACTCACTCACTCGCTAACACACACTCACTCACTAACACTCACTAACACTCGCTAACACAAACACTCACTAACACTCACACACTCACTAACACTCGCTAACACAAACACTCACTAACACTCACACACTCGCTAACACTCACACACTCACTAACACACTAACACTCACACACTCACTTACAAAGATCCCCCGTATAGACTTAACAGACTGTAAGGGCCCAGGACCGGTTCAGATAATCGTCACCACTGGTGTTGGCCGTGAGCGGGAATCGAACCCGGGTCGCCAGGTTTGTAGTGCAGCGTGCTAACAGCTGCACTACCGCTACACACAACACACAAACACTCACTAACACTCACTAACACTCACTAATACAAACACTCACTCACTAACACTCACACATACTCGCTAACACAAACATACAAACACCTACGAACGCATTCGCTAACACTCATTCACTCACTCACACACTCACACACACACTAACACTTCATACACTCGCTCACACACACACTCACAGACTCACTCACAGACTCACTCACACTCACAGACTCACCCACGCTCACACTCACAGACTCACTCACAGACTCACACTCACAGACTCACTCACACTCACAGACTCACACTCACAGACTCACTCACACTCACAGACTCACACTCACAGACTCACTCACACTCACAGACTCACCCACGCTCACACTCACAGACTCACTCACTCACACACTCACTCACACTCACAGACTCACTCACACTCACAGACTCACTCACGCTCACACTCACAGACTCACTCACACTCACACACTCACTCACACTCACAGACTCACTCACACTCACAGACTCACACTCACAGACTCACTCACACTCACAGACTCACACTCACAGACTCACTCACACTCACAGACTCACACTCACAGACTCACTCACACTCACAGACTCACCCACGCTCACACTCACAGACTCACTCACTCACACACTCACTCACACTCACAGACTCACTCACACTCACAGACTCACTCACGCTCACACTCACAGACTCACTCACACTCACACACTCACTCACACTCACAGACTCACTCACACTCACAGACTCACCCACGCTCACACTCACAGACTCACTCACTCACACACTCACTCACACTCACAGACTCACTCACGCTCACACTCACAGACTCACTCACACTCACACACTCACTCACACTCACAGACTCACTCACACTCACAGACTCACCCACGCTCACACTCACAGACTCACTCACTCTCACACTCACAGACTCACTCACACACACACTCACAGACTCACTCACAGACTCACACTCACAGACTCACTCACACTCACAGACTCACACTCACAGACTCACTCACACTCACAGACTCACACTCACAGACTCACTCACACTCACAGACTCACCCACGCTCACACTCACAGACTCACTCACTCACACACTCACTCACACTCACAGACTCACTCACACTCACAGACTCACTCACGCTCACACTCACAGACTCACTCACACTCACACACTCACTCACACTCACAGACTCACTCACACTCACAGACTCACACTCACAGACTCACTCACACTCACAGACTCACACTCACAGACTCACTCACACTCACAGACTCACACTCACAGACTCACTCACACTCACAGACTCACCCACGCTCACACTCACAGACTCACTCACTCACACACTCACTCACACTCACAGACTCACTCACACTCACAGACTCACTCACGCTCACACTCACAGACTCACTCACACTCACACACTCACTCACACTCACAGACTCACTCACACTCACAGACTCACCCACGCTCACACTCACAGACTCACTCACTCACACACTCACTCACACTCACAGACTCACTCACGCTCACACTCACAGACTCACTCACACTCACACACTCACTCACACTCACAGACTCACTCACACTCACAGACTCACCCACGCTCACACTCACAGACTCACTCACTCTCACACTCACAGACTCACTCACACACACACTCACAGACTCACTCACAGACTCACACTCACAGACTCACTCACACTCACAGACTCACACTCACAGACTCACTCACACTCACAGACTCACACTCACAGACTCACTCACACTCACAGACTCACCCACGCTCACACTCACAGACTCACTCACTCACACACTCACTCACACTCACAGACTCACTCACACTCACAGACTCACTCACGCTCACACTCACAGACTCACTCACACTCACACACTCACTCACACTCACAGACTCACTCACACTCACAGACTCACACTCACAGACTCACTCACACTCACAGACTCACACTCACAGACTCACTCACACTCACAGACTCACACTCACAGACTCACTCACACTCACAGACTCACCCACGCTCACACTCACAGACTCACTCACTCACACACTCACTCACACTCACAGACTCACTCACACTCACAGACTCACTCACGCTCACACTCACAGACTCACTCACACTCACACACTCACTCACACTCACAGACTCACTCACACTCACAGACTCACCCACGCTCACACTCACAGACTCACTCACTCACACACTCACTCACACACTCACAGACTCACTCACGCTCACACTCACAGACTCACTCACACTCACACACTCACTCACACTCACAGACTCACTCACACTCACAGACTCACCCACGCTCACACTCACAGACTCACTCACTCTCACACTCACAGACTCACTCACAACACACACTCACAGACTCACTCACAGACCTCACACTCACAGACTCACTCACACTCACAGACTCACACTCACAGACTCACTCACACTCACAGACTCACACTCACAGACTCACTCACACTCACAGACTCACCCACGCTCACACTCACAGACTCACTCACTCACACACTCACTCACACTCACAGACTCACTCACACTCACAGACTCACTCACGCTCACACTCACAGACTCACTCACACTCACACACTCACTCACACTCACAGACTCACTCACACTCACAGAAACTCACTCACCTACTCACTCACACTCACAGAAACTCACTCAACAACTCACTCACACTCACAGAAACACACTCAACAACTCACTCACACTCACAGACTCACCCACGCTCACACTCACAGACTCACTCACTCACACACTCACTCACACTCACAGACTCACTCACACTCACAGACTCACTCACGCTCACACTCACAGACTCACTCACACTCACACACTCACTCACACTCACAGACTCACTCACACTCACAGAAACTCACCCAACTACTCGCTCACACTCACAGAAACTCACTCAACACCTCACTCACACTCACAGACTCACTCACACTCACACTCACAGAAACTCACTCACAACACACTCACTCACACTCACAGACTCACTCACACTCACAGACTCACCCACGCTCACACTCACAGACTCACTCACTCTCACACTCACAGACTCACTCACACACACACTCACAGACTCACTCACAGACTCACACTCACAGACTCACTCACACTCACAGACTCACACTCACAGACTCACTCACACTCACAGACTCACACTCACAGACTCACTCACACTCACAGACTCACCCACGCTCACACTCACAGACTCACTCACTCACACACTCACTCACACTCACAGACTCACTCACACTCACAGACTCACTCACGCTCACACTCACAGACTCACTCACACTCACACACTCACTCACACTCACAGACTCACTCACACTCACAGACTCACACTCACAGACTCACTCACACTCACAGACTCACACTCACAGACTCACTCACACTCACAGACTCACACTCACAGACTCACTCACACTCACAGACTCACCCACGCTCACACTCACAGACTCACTCACTCACACACTCACTCACACTCACAGACTCACTCACACTCACAGACTCACTCACGCTCACACTCACAGACTCACTCACACTCACACACTCACTCACACTCACAGACTCACTCACACTCACAGACTCACCCACGCTCACACTCACAGACTCACTCACTCACACACTCACTCACACTCACAGACTCACTCACACTCACAGACTCACTCACGCTCACACTCACAGACTCACTCACACTCACAGACTCACTCACACTCACAGACTCACCCACGCTCACACTCACAGACTCACTCACACACTAACACTCACTCACACTCACAGACTCACTCACACGCTATTGTGAGCGTGCTGCGCTACAAACCCGGCGACCCGAGTTCAATTCCCGCTCACGGCCAACAACAACAGTGACGACTATCCGAGCGGATCTTGGGCCTCCCTTAGGTCAACTCGGCCTCAAATGAGTACCGGGTGCGGTGTGTAGTAATCATCGCCACTGGGTGTGTAGTAAACATTGTCAAGGGGAGACAAAGGGGGCCGGGCGTGGTGCTGGCCACCCACCCCCTCGTGTGCCGTGCCGGCCTTCATAGGTGCTCGCTAACAGCACTTGCCCCTACAGTCTGTTAAGGCTATACGGGGAATATTTGTCTTTTGTGTGTGTGTGTGCGCATGTGTGTGTACGTGTGTGCGTGTGTGTGTGTACGTGCGTGTGTGTGTGCGTGCGTGTGTGAGTGCGTACGTGTGTGCATGTGTGTACATGTCTGACGCGCGCGGGCGTGTGTGTGCGTGCGTGTGCGCGTGCGCGCGCGTGTCGACTCAGCCTCAAATGAGTACCTGGTGCGGTGTGTAAACATCACCACTGGGGAGACAAAGGCGGCTGGGCGTGGTGCTGGCCACCCACCCCCTCGTGTGCCGTTCCGGCCTTCATAGGTGCTCGCTAACAGCACTTGCCCCTACAGTCTGTTAAGGCTACACGGGGGATCTTTATCTTTGTGTGTGTTGATGCTGCAGCAGAACGAGGGAGGCAGCCGGACCAAGAATGAGAGTGCGTGGCTCTTCCGCATGTGGTACATCTTCGACCACAAGTATCCTTGCTGCGGCTCCACGCGTCTCTCTGTGTGTGTCTCTGTGTGTGTCTCTGTGTGTGTCTCTGTGTGTCTCTGTGTGTGTGTCTCTGTGTGTGTGTCTCTGTGTGTCTCTGTGTGTGTGTCTCTGTGTGTGTGTCTCTGTGTGTCTCTGTGTGTGTGTCTCTGTGTGTGTGTCTCTGTGTCTCTCTCTGTGTGTGTCTCTCTGTGTGTCTCTCTGCGTGTCTGTCTGTGTGTGTCTCTGTGTGTCTCTCTGTGTGTGTCTCTGTGTGTGTGTCTCTCTGTGTGTCTCTCTGTGTGTCTCTGTGTGTGTGTCTCTGTGTGTGTGTCTCTGTGTCTCTCTCTGTGTGTGTCTCTCTGTGTGTCTCTCTGCGTGTCTGTCTGTGTGTGTCTCTCTGTGTGTCTCTGTGTCTCTCTCTGTGTGTCTCTGTGTGTCTCTGTGTGTGTCTCTCTGTGTGTGTGTCTCTGTGTCTCTCTCTGTGTGTGTCTCTCTGTGTGTCTCTCTGCGTGTCTGTCTGTGTGTGTCTCTCTGTGTGTCTCTGTGTGTCTCTGTGTGTGTCTCTGTGTGTCTCTGTGTGTGTCTCTGTGTGTGTCTCTCTGTGTGTCTCTCTGTGTCTCTCTCTGTGTGTCTTTGTGTGTCTCTGTGTGTGTGTCTCTGCGTGTCTCTCCGCGTGTCTCCCCGCGTGTCTCTCTGTGTCTTTCTCTCTGTGTCTCTCTGTCTCTCTGTGTCTCTCCGCGTATCTCTGTGTCTCTCTCTGTGTCTCTCTGTGTGTCTCTCTGTGTGTGTCTCTGCGTGTCTCTCCGCGTGTCTCTGCGTGTCTCTCTCCGCGTGTCTCCCCGTGTTGCTCCGTGACTGTGGCCACCCTCCCAGCTACCTGAAGCCGATCCTCACCCACTCGGGGCCCCCGCTCACCTCCACGCTGCCACGCTGCTGCGCCCCCCTCGCACGCTGCCTCACCAGCCCCCACGCATACGAGGTGAGCACCACCCCCCCCCACCGCTCCGTGTCTGCCTGTGGGGCTCTGTGTGGGTGTGGGGTGAGTGTGTGTGGGTGTGAGTGGGTGTGGGTGTGAGTGGGTCTGCGAGTGAGTGGGTCTGCGTGTGAGTGGGTGTGAGTGTGTGTGAGTGGGTGTGAGTGTGCGTGAGTGTGCGTGGGTCTGTGTGTACGTGTGAGTGGGTGTGCGTGTGAGTGAGTGGGTGTGAGTGTGCGTGAGTGTGCGTGGGTCTGTGTGTACGTGTGAGTGGGTGTGAGTGTGTGTGAGTGGGTGTGAGTGTGCGTGAGTGTGCGTGGGTCTGTGTGTACGTGTGAGTGGGTGTGCGTGTGAGTGCGTGTCAGTGTGAGTGGGTGTGAGTGGGTCTGCGAGTGCGTGGGTGTGTAGTAGTGTGTAGTGTGTAGTGTAGAGTGTAGTGTACAGTTTACAGTGTAGTGTGTAGTGTATAGTGTAGTGTATAGTGTAGTGTGTAGTATAGTGTAGTGTATAGTGTAGTGTAGTGTATAGTGTAGTGTAGTGTGTAGTGTAGTGTGTATTAGTGTATAGTGTAGTGTGTAGTGTGTAGTGTATAGTGTAGTGTAGTGTATAGTATAGTGTAGTGTATAGTATAGTGTAGTGTGTAGTGTAGTGTAGTGTACAGTGTAGTGTATAGTGTACAGTGTATAGTGTACAGTGTACAGTGTAGTGTACAGTGTATAGTATGTATAGCATCTGGGCTGCGTGAACCCTCCCACGGAGCGCCCTCTAGACGGTGACAGTGCCGCCTGCACTGTCACCGTCACCGCTGTGGTCACCGTCACCACCGTCACCACCGTCACCACCGTCACCACCGTCACCACCGTCACCACCGTCACCACCGTCACCACCGTCACCACCGTCACCACCGTCACCACCGTCACCACCGTCACCACCGTCACCACCGTCACCACCGTCACCACCGTCACCACCGTCACCACCGTCACCACCGTTACCACTGCCGCCACCAGAACCAGGAGCAGCTGGGCACCGGCACGGGCGGCGACGACGACTCGGTGCTGATCCTGGGCGGCGACGGCGACCTCATCCTCACCGCCGGCAACGCCAACGGGCCGGCCCCCGCCGCCCCCGCCGGCACGGCCATCGCCGCCTCCGGCACGGCCATCGCCGCCGCGTCCACCGCGTACCCCGCACGGCCCTCCACCGCCCACCTCTACAACCGGCGCCAGCAGCAGCAGCAGCAGCAGCAGCGGCGGCCGGGGTCGGGGCCGGGGTCGGGGTCGGGGGCCGCGTCCCCCGAGGAGGCGGCGCTGGAGGAGGGCGACCTGGGGGAGGGCGCCGGCGCCGTGGCGCGCGGCACGCGCCTCGTGCTGCACTCGCCCAGCGGCGCCGACGACGAGGACGGCGCCGGCGGCTACCACGCGCTCGCCTGAGCGCCGTCGCCGCGGCGACCGTAGCCACGGCGACCGCCGTCGTCGCGAGCGCCGTCACGAGCGCCGTCGTCGCCACGGCGACCCCCGCCGTGGCTCGGGTCGGCCGACCGACGGCTTTGCACTCCGCCCGCCGGCCCCGTCGTCGCCGTCGGCTTCGTCATCATTGTCGTCAGCTGACCGATGACGTCATTGCAGTCGTCAGCTGGCCGGTGACGTCATCGACCGGCTGGCCGGTGACGCCATCGGCCGGCCGGTCGATGGCGTCGTTGTCGTCGGCCGATGGACGATGTCGCCGTCATCGTCGTAGTCGTCAGCTGACCGATGACATCACGCTGCACTTGCCTGCCGAGGGCACTCGAGCCTGATCATCGTCGTCATGGTGATCATCGTCGTCATGGTGATCATCGTCGTCATGGTGATCATCGTCGTCATGGTGATCATCGTCGTCATGGTGATCATCGTCGTCATGGTGATCGTCATCGTCATCGTCGTCGCCTAGTAACGTTACCGGAATGCCGACATCATCGTCGTCGTATTCGTCATCACCATCGCTTGGCGAACAGCATCATCATCATCGTCATCGCATCTTCGGCGATGACATCATCGTCATCGCATCTTCGGCGATGACATCATCGTCATCGCATCTTCGGCGATGACATCATCGTCGTCGCATCTTCGGCGATGACATCATCGCCGTCACATCTCCGGCGATGACATCATCGCCGTCACATCTCCGGCGATGACATCATCGCCGTCACATCTCCGGCGATGACATCATCGCCGTCACATCTCCTGTGATGACATCATCGCCGTCACATCTCCGGCGATGACATCATCGCCGTCACATTTCCTGTGATGACATCATCGCCGTCACATCTCCGGCGATGACATCATCGCCGTCACATCTCCTGTGATGACATCATCGCCGTCACATCTCCTGTGATGACATCATCACCGTCACATCTCCTGTGATGACATCATCGCCGTCACATCTCCGGCGATGACATCATCGCCGTCACATCTCCGGCGATGACATCATCGCCGTCACATCTTCGGCGATGACATCATCGCCGTCACATCTCCTGTGATGACATCATCGCCGTCACATCTCCGGCGATGACATCATCACCGTCACATTTCCTGTGATGACATCATCACCGTCACATTTCCTGTGATGACATCATCGCCGTCACCCCGACACCGTTGTGACGGTGATGGTAGTGGCGGCGATGGGTTCGTGACGGTTGTGATGATGGTGGTGGTGGTGGTGGTGGCTGTTGTCACGGTTGTGGCGGTGGTGGTGACGGTTGTGGCGGTGGTGACGGTTGTGGCGGTGGTGGTGGTGGTGGTGACGGTTGTGATGATGATGATGATGGTGGTGGTGGTGGTGACGGTTGTGATGATGATGGTGGTGGTGGTGGTGGTGACGGTTGTGATGATGATGATGGTGGTGGTGGTGACGGTTGTGATGATGATGATGGTGGTGGTGGTGACGGTTGTGATGATGATGGTGGTGGTGGTGGTGACGGTTGTCATGGTTGTGGCGGTGGTGGTGGTGGTGATGCCTGTGTCTTGCCACTTTAATCTGCAGTCCGTGTGGTCGCCGTGGTTTTTGCGGCCGCCGCCGCCGCCGTCGTCGTTGTGTTTTGATTTTGCGCGGTTTCCCGCCGAGCGAACCGTCGCGTAATTTATGATCGCGGTGAATTCTTGCGTCCCTCCGTTGCGTTCTGTTGCGCCGCGTTGCTGCGGTGCGTTGCATCGTCGCGTTGCGTGCGTTGCGTGCGTTGTTGAGTTGCGTGCGTTGCGTGCGTTGTTGAGTTGCGTTGTTGCGTGCCGCATAGCGTGCGTTGTTGAGTTGCGTTGTTGCGTGCCGCATAGCGTGCGTTGTTGAGTTGCGTTGTTGCGTGCCGCGTTGCGTTGTTGAGTTGCGTTGCATTCAGCAGACACTTTGCGCTGTCTGACCCCTCGCAATCCTCCCGACCACCCCCACTACCCCCCCCCCCCCAAAAAATACAACAACAACAACAACCGTGTAGCACTGATGCCATTGCCACCATCGCTGCTACCATCACCACTACCACCATCACCACCACCACCACCACCATCATCACCAGCATGTGCATCGCTACTACCATCACCACCACTATCAATACTATCACCACAATCAGTACCACCGCCACCACCACAACAACCACGCACGACTGATGCCATCACCATCGCCATCACTACTACCATCACCACTACCATCACCACTACTAATACCATCATCACCATCATCACCATCACCACAATCAGTATCAACATCAAAACAACCACGCACCACCATCATCATCATCACCATCATCACCATCATCACCACAACCACTATCAACACTACAACAACTAAAACAACCACGCACCACCATCATCATCATCACCATCATCACCATCATCACCATCATCACCACAATCACTATCAACACCACAACAACCAAAACAACCATGCACCACTGATGCCATCACCACCACCATCATCATCACCGCAATCAATACCACCATTATCAGCACCTATGAAGGCTGCCATCACTGTGACACACACAGAGGGGGGGGGGGGGGTGGGTGGCCAGCACCACGCCCGGCCGCCTTTGTCTCTCCCCCAGTGCTAGCGATGTTTGCACACCGCGCCAGGTACTCATTTGAGGCTCAGTCGACTTAGGGGAGGGGCCCAGGACCGGTTCAGATAACCGCAATCACAGGTTTGTGCAGGTGGTCCAATTCAGATGATCACAATCACAAATTTGTGCAGGTGGTCTCCGTGAGAGGGAATCAAACTCGTCTCTGCTGGGTTCATCGCGCTAACTGCTGCACCGCCGCTCTTCACAAATTACCCAAACCCCCTCTCCCACCCCTGAGCTCTGCCGTCCTCTATATATATAAACTGTAATCTACTACTTTTCAATGTGACTAGGTAAGGCCCACAGAGTTAAATAGCTTTTTTCCATGAAAGGTGTTAGCGCCCCGAGTCATGACGGGGGGGGTCTGCCTAGTTGTTGTGTGCGCGGGAGAAAACCCAGCACGTGCGAGGGGAGAACGCTCGATCCCCGTTACAGATGTAACAGATGGAGATTAGTCCACTCTCTGCTGTACCGCAATCTCTGTGCAGAGCGGGGGCGTAGAGCCATACGCCCACCCACGTGAAGTGAGATGTAACAGATGGAGATTAGTCCGGTGGGAAAACCACCACCCGTGCCGTGCTGGCCCCACGCTGGCTCGGGTGTGTCCAGTGGGAAGACCACCACCCGTGCCGTGCTGGCCCCACGCTGGCTCGGGTGTGGCAGTGGGAAAACCACCAACCGTACCGTGCTGGCCCCACGCTGGCTCGGGTGTGGCAGTGGGAAAACCACCACCCGTGCCGTGCTGGCCCCACGCTGGCTCGGGTGTGGCAGTGGAAAACCACCACCCGTACCGTGCTGGCCCCACGCTGGCTCGGGTGTGGCAGTGGGGAAACCACCACCCGTGCCGTGCTGGCCCCACGCTGGCTCGGGTGTGGCAGTGGGAAGACCACCACCCGTACCGTGCTGGCACGGGTGTGCCAGTGCAAAAGGCGTCGCAGTGAGGCTCCGATAAATGAAGATCATCATCACCACCGTCATCGCCACCGTCATCACCACCATCATCACCCTTGGTAACACTGACCCCCCTGATTGAACCCTGAGTGAGGATGGGGCGACGTTGCACCGTTCAAACCACCCCACTGGGTCGTGCCCGTGTTGACCCCATAGATTGAGGTCAGGGGTTGAAGGTCTTGGGGGAGGATGTTGATGTCCATCCCCACCCCCCGTTTATTGCCAAATGATGTCGCGTGGTTCGTTGTGTTTGTGTGCGCGTGTACTTTAAACTTCTTTTGCACCGTGCGTAGCCAGCCGTGCTAATTGGAGGGTGAGTGGGTGGTTGGGTGAGTGAGTGAGTGGGTGAGTGGTCGGGTGAGTGGGTGGGTGGGTAAGTGGGTGGGTGAGTGGGTGAGTGGTTGGGTGGTTGGGTGAGTGGTTGGGTGAGTGGTTAGGTGAGTGGATGGGTGGGTGGTTGGGTGAGTGGTTGGGTGAGTGGTTGGGTGAGTGGGTGGGTGGGTGGTTGGGTGAGTGGTTGGGTGGGTGGTTGGGTGGGTGGTTGGGTGGGTGGGTGAGTGGTTGGGTGAGTGGGTGGGTGGTTGGGTGAGTGGTTGGGTGGGTGGTTGGGTGAGTGGTTGGGTGGGTGGTTGGGTGAGTGGTTGGGTGGGTGGTTGGGTGAGTGGTTGGGTGGGTGGGTGAGTGGTTGGGTGAGTGAGTGGGTGGGTGGTTGGGTGGGTGGTTGGGTGAGTGACTGTGGCTATGTGAGTCTACCTTTTTTACCTTGAATTTCTTTTGCAGCGTACTTAGTCAACCGTGCTCATCGGAGGGCGGGTGAGTGTGTGGGTCTGTGTGTGGGTCTGTGTGTGGGTCTGTGTGTGGGTGAGTTGTGGGTCTGTGTGTGGGTGAGTGTGTGGGTCTGTGTGTGGGTCTGTGTGTGGGTCTGTGTGTGGGTCTGTGTGTGGGTGAGTGTGTGGGTCTGTGTGTGGGTCTGTGTGTGGGTCTGTGTGTGGGTCTGTGTGTGGGTGAGTGTGTGGGTCTGTGTGTGGGTCTGTGTGTGGGTGAGTGTGTGGGTCTGTGTGTGGGTGAGTGTGTGGGTCTGTGTGTGGGTGAGTGTGTGGGTCTGTGTGCGGGTCTGTGTGCGGGTGAGTGTGTGGGTCTGTGTGTGGGTGAGTGTGTGGGTGAGTGTGCGGGTCTGTGTGTGGGTGAGTGTGTGGGTCTGTGTGTGGGTGAGTGTGTGGGTCTGTGTGCGGGTCTGTGTGCGGGTCTGTGTGCGGGTCTGCGTGCGGGTCTGCGTGCGGGTCTGTGTGCGGGTCTGTGTGCGGGTCTGTGTGCGGGTCTGTGTGTGGGTGAGTGTGTGGGTCTGTGTGTGGGTCTGTGTGTGGGTCTGTGTGTGGGTCTGTGTGCGGGTGAGTGTGTGGGTGAGTGTGTGGGTGAGTGTGTGGGTCTGTGTGGGGGTCTGTGTGCGGGTCTGTGTGCGGGTGAGTGTGCGGGTCTGTGTGTGGGTCTGTGTGCGGGTCTGTGTGCGGGTCTGTGTGTGGGTCTGTGTGCGGGTCTGTGTGCGGGTCTGTGTGCGGGTGAGTGTGCGGGTCTGTGTGTGGGTGAGTGTGTGGGTGAGTGTGCGGGTGAGTGTGCGGGTCTGTGTGCGGGTGAGTGTGCGGGTGAGTGTGCGGGTCTGTGTGTGGGTGAGTGTGTGGGTGAGTGTGTGGGTGAGTGTGTGGGTCTGTGTGTGGGTGAGTGTGTGGGTCTGTGTGCGGGTGAGTGTGCGGGTGAGTGTGTGGGTGAGTGTGTGGGTCTGTGTGCGGGTCTGTGTGCGGGTGAGTGTGTGGGTCTGTGTGTGGGTGAGTGTGTGGGTCTGTGTGCGGGTGAGTGTGTGGGTCTGTGTGCGGGTGAGTGTGTGGGTCTGTGTGCGGGTGAGTGTGTGGGTCTGTGTGTGGGTGAGTGTGTGGGTCTGTGTGCGGGTGAGTGTGCGGGTGAGTGTGTGGGTGAGTGTGTGGGTCTGTGTGCGGGTCTGTGTGCGGGTGAGTGTGTGGGTCTGTGTGCGGGTGAGTGTGTGGGTCTGTGTCTCTCTGTATGTTAAACTTCTTTCGCACCGTACGTATCCCGCCGTGCTAATCGGAGGTGCGGGGGTGGTGAAGAAGAACAACTTGAACACGCGAGTTCAAAAATAAACGAGTGATTCTAAAAGTGCCATATCGCTCCAGTCGGTGGCTTCCTAATACCGGAATGAAGAGCGTTCCAGACGGCCGCAGAAGTGCACTGGAAAGGGCGACTGTGTGTGTGAGTGTGCATGTGTACGTGCTGCCCGCCATAGGTGCTGCTACTCGCTAGACAGCACTTGCGCTGAACAGGCTACACGTGGAACCTTTGTCTTCGTGTGTCTGCATGGACTTGGGACTTCTTTAGCAACGCACGTAGCCGTGCTAGTCGGAGGTGCGGGGTTGGGGACAGCAAACTGAACACACGAAATGCATTTTAAAAATGAACGAGTTGATGGATCTGGACCAGGGGTGGGTCTGGCCCTGCCAAGGCAACCGCAGGCAGGACTTGATCAATCAATCTCGGAGCAAACCTGGAACAGCAGTTGCGAGTAGCAGCATCGTCAATACCAGCAGCTAACAACATCACTCGCCTCGCCAAATAGAAGCGGTGCAAGCCCATCGCATTCGGGGCGAGTTAATTAAATGTTTGACCAAATATAACAGGCGAATTTATTAGTTCATAATCTTGTATGGCCCGCGAGTGATGTTACAAATATCCAAATGGCCCTTGGCAGGAGAAAGGTCCCCCAGCCCTGGCGCAGACGATGACGACGACGATGTAAACGTGCAGCATCGCGCCCAGTGACGACTTCCTCCTCCTCGTGTCGAAGGGAGAAGAGCGTTGCGGAAACGTCGAACACTCTTCCCTTTCCACCATTTTTGTTCGACGGCAGCTGCTGCTGCTGCTGCTACAGCTGCTGCTGCTGCTGCTACAGCTGCTGCTGCTGCTGCTACAGCTGCTGCTGCTGCTGCTACAGCTGCTGCTGCTGCTGCTACAGCTGCTGCTGCTGCTGCTACAGCTGCTGCTGCTGCTGCTACAGCTGCTGCTGCTGCTGCTACAGCTGCTGCTGCTGCTGCTACAGCTGCTGCTTGCTGCTGCTACAGCTGCTGCTGCTGCTGCTACAGCTGCTGCCTGCTGCTGCTACAGCTGCTGCTGCTGCTGCTACAGCTGCTGCTGCTGCTGCTGCTGCTACAGCTGCTGCTGCTGCTGCTGCTACAGCTGCTGCTGCTGCTGCTGCTACAGCTGCTGCTGCTGCTGCTGCTACAGCTGCTGCTGCTGCTGCTGCTACAGCTGCTGCTGCTGCTGCTGCTACAGCTGCTGCTGCTGCTGCTGCTACAGCTGCTGCTGCTGCTGCTGCTACAGCTGCTGCTGCTGCTGCTGCTACAGCTGCTGCTGCTGCTGCTGCTACAGCTGCTGCTGCTGCTACAGCTGCTGCTGCTGCTGCTGCTACAGCTGCTGCTGCTGCTGCTGCTACAGCTGCTGCTGCTGCTGGCTGCTACAGCTGCTGCTGCTGCTGCTGCTAGCTGCTTGCTGCTGCTGCTGCTAGCTGCTGCTACGAGCGGCTGCTGCTGCTAGCTGCTGCTGCTGCTAGCTGCTGCTGCTGCTACAGCTGCTGCTGCTGCTGCTGCTACAGCTGCTGCTGCTGCTGCTGCTACAGCTGCTGCTGCTGCTGCTGCTACAGCTGCTGCTGCTGCTGCTGCTACAGCTGCTGCTGCTGCTGCTGCTACAGCTGCTGCTGCTGCTGCTGCTACAGCTGCTGCTGCTGCTGCTGCTACAGCTGCTGCTGCTGCTGCTGCTACAGCTGCTGCTGCTGCTGCTACAGCTGCTGCTGCAGCTGCTAGCTGCTGCTACAGCTGCTAGCTGCTGCTGCTGCTACAGCTGCTACAGCTGCTGCTGCTGCTGCTGCTACAGCTGCTGCTGCTGCTACAGCTGCTGCTGCTGCTGCTGCTACAGCTGCTGCTGCTGCTGCTGCTACAGCTGCTGCTGCTGCTGCTGCTGCTACAGCTGCTGCTGCTACAGCTGCTGCTGCTGCTGCTACAGCTGCTGCTGCTGCTGCTACAGCTGCTGCTGCTGCTGCTACAGCTGCTGCTGCTGCTGCTGCTGCTACAGCTGCTGCTGCTGCTGCTGCTACAGCTGCTGCTGCTGCTGCTGCTGCTACAGCTGCTGCTGCTGCTACAGCTGCTGCTGCTGCTACAGCTGCTGCTGCTGCTGCTACAGCTGCTGCTGCTACAGCTGCTGCTGCTGCTGCTACAGCTGCTGCTGCTGCTGCTACAGCTGCTGCTGCTGCTGCTACAGCTGCTGCTGCTGCTGCTACAGCTGCTGCTGCTGCTGCTACAGCTGCTGCTGCTGCTGCTACAGCTGCTGCTGCTGCTGCTACAGCTGCTGCTGCTGCTGCTGTTACAGCTGCTGCTGCTGCTGTTACAGCTGCTGCTGCTGCTGCTACAGCTGCTGCTGCTGCTGCTACAGCTGCTGCTGCTGCTGCTACAGCTGCTGCTGCTGCTGCTACAGCTGCTGCTGCTGCTGCTGCTGCTACAGCTGCTGCTGCTACAGCTGCTGCTGCTACAGCAGCTGCTGCTGCGTGGAAAGTCTCTCGTGACGGGGTTCGTGTTCCGTGACGAGATGGGCGAGTGAGTTGTGTGCTTCCTTAAGACCGTGATGGCAACCAAGGAGGAGGAGAGTTTCAGCTCAAATCGTTGCCGGCAGCAATGGCGTTCTGTGTTGCCTGCCGCGAGTGTAACAGCGTCCAGTCGGATGGCACAGGCAGAGGGTCACGTGACGCACACCAAGCTTGTCAATGTCAAACCCCGGAATGCCCAACCCCAAACCCCTACCTCCTAAACCCCTAACTCCTAAACCCCAAACCTCTAACTCCTAAACCTCTAACTCCTGAATCTCTAACTCCTAAACCTCTAACTCCTGAATCTCTAACTCCTAAACCTCTAACTCCTGAATCTCTAACTACTAAACCTCTAACTCCTAAACCCCTAACTCCTGAATCTCTAACCCCTAAACCTCTAACTCCTAAACCCCTAACTCCTAAACCTCTAACTCCTGAATCTCTAACTACTAAACCTATAACTCCTAAACCTCTAACTCCTGAACCTCTAACTCCTAAACCTCTAACTCCTAAACCTCTAACTCCTAAACCTCTAACTCCTTAACCTCTAACTCCTAAACCCCAAACCTCTAACTCCTAAACCTCTAACTCCTAAACCTACAACTCCTAAACCCCAAACCTCTAACTCCTAAACCTACAACTCCTAAACCTATAACTCCTAAACCTCTAACTCCTAAACCTCTAACTCCTAAACCTACAACTCCTAAACCCCAAACCTCTAACTCCTA